GCAAGTAACTTCAATGCAGTATTGATTATCTTGGATTTTAAACTAGTTAAAGAACAGAACGATCAAAAGATTGGGATTTATAGACTGCGTTAAGTATTAACTATAGATGCCTGCCTATCTAAAGATTTGAACTTACCTATATATAATTTGAAGTAACCAGTTCCATATCACTGTCAACACTGCTTAGATATTCCACAATGAATACGTTATGCCTTGTTTACACTACACTAGTATTTTAGTCAAGTAGCGAATATTCAGTAGTTAGTCCTCTCTCGCTTACGGAGCCGCGGAGAACTTAATGGGTTACCGGAGCTCCGGCTCGACGTACAGGAGAAGGAACGGGGTGGTTTTTAGTCAGTAAGAGTCTGACACTCCCTCCCGCCTCACCCAGGCGGGAGCAGTCATTCGATGATTTCCCCCCCTTAAAAAAAAGTCCTCTTTCGCTTACGGAGCCGCGGAGAACTTAATGGGTTACCACCGGGGCTTCGGCTCGAAGTAGGTACGCGAGATAGAAGCGAGAGAGGACTTTTTAAGGGGGGAAAATCATCGAATGATTGCTCCCGCCTGGGTGAGGCGGGCCGCGGGAGGGAGTGTTAGACTCTTACTGACTAAAAACCATCCCGTTCCTTCTCCTGCTCTTCGAGCCGGAGCCCCAGTAACCCGTTAGGTTCACAACACTAAACTGTATAGTTATAACTTTTTGAAAGACAAAAAAAATCGACTTGGCCAACTTCACTTACGTGCATCTCATGCATACAAATCCGTGGTTTAAATTCGCATTCCATTTTTGAATATTCATTATTCAAAAATGGAATGCGAATTGGGGGAATCCCCATACGCAATGGGGGTGTGTCATCTCTCTTTTTTCTTTTGTGTAAACCAAAATGCGTTTTTTATACCTTCAACAAGTGCATACGAACCAGTTGACATTTCAATATCAATCAGATTGAAAAGTAAACGTAACAAAAATCAAATTCAAGGCAAACCACCTATAGCAATAGCAAAATAACTAGAATTCCTTATTACTATAAACAATGAAAAATTCATCGTATCTGCGAGTCATAAAGTTTAATTTAGTTTGTTAAAGTTTTGTCGGCGTGGCTGACAAGCCGATTGAATTCTGGCTGCTGATTGGTCGAAAGTTACGGTTGTGAATGTATGTGAAATGAATTGCATTGTTTGTTTTTACACAATACGTATGGGCAATTAATTTTTATGTACATTATGAGAAGTTTGAAAAAATTAGGTGACAATACAATTATTTAGTAAATGTGTTAATTAGACTAAAAAAAGAAAAATTTACGTGCTCCCATGACATTGTTTTTGTAATTTAAAAACTTAGCTTTTAAATATAGAATCGTGATAACCATTTAATAACTAACGTATGATTACACATTACAATTTTGACTTTTGGACTTTTAACTTGCGTTAATATTTGTGACATAATTTTGTATTCAGCTACAAAATTGAAATCAAATAAAATACGTCAAAGGTTCCGAAATATTATAAAGTACACGTTAGCATTGAAAATAGTTGATAGCATTATATTTTACATTCATAAAATTGGCATTGACATTTTCGGCGGTTGAGAAGATTCCGCTTAGGCAAAAATAAATGATATAGGTTATGAATATAATTATTGCGTTTAGCCACTAATTAGCAATTACGAAACCTAGGAATACTTTATTCTCAAGGCAAGCCTTTCAACTTTCGATTTAACACTTGAGTACGAAAAATAGAATACAAACATTATTTACTTACCCTTCTACTCCACCGAAGTACCTCATTTTGTTATCACTAACTTGAAGAAAATTATAAACGACGCGTACAACACAATAAATAACTGCAACGATTTATTACTATTTCGATAATGATAACCCGTTTGTTTTATAATAACCACAAACACAGCCTTCGACAGTGAAAGCGGACGCTCAACTGAGTGAATGAATAAATGAAGTTTGTTGTCAAGATTGAGAACGAAATGGTTGACATTAATTGACTGTACGACCGCTTATTTTGGTAGTGTCGTACCGTGTATTCTTGTTCGTCGAATAACGGTTATAACGTAGTTATAGCGGTTACAACTATAGTTTAAATTGGGTTATTTGTTTCGTAGAATGTAAAGTGTTTTAGTTATTTAATTAACACTGATGTCATTAATATTTTTCATTATTCTAATGACATATCATTCTATTTTCTATACTATATATATAATAATGGTATTGTACTTTTATTACCGTATTTATTAACGATATCATACTTGTAATATTATAATAATAATTCAGGCATCATTCATCATTGCATGTTTGTTACTCTTTCACGTCAAAACGCTTGAAGGAATCGAGATGAAATTTAAAGTAAAGGTAGGTTATGGTCTGAAATACACACAGGCGACTTTTATCCCATTGCAACGCGGGCGAAACCACTGACAGGCAAGTTTGTCAATATAAAATCTATCTCTTAACATAAAAAGCATCTTTAGGACGATTTAAAATTATTAAAATATTTAGGGTAATCTGGGAATAAAACGAAACCTCTGTAGAAAGTAAACAAGTGTTGTAGACTTTTTTTTAAGGGGCTAAAATCAATAATTGACTGATCCCGCCTGGGTGAGGCGGGAGGGAGTGTCAAACTCTTACTGACTAAAAACCACCCCGTTCCTTCTCCTGCACGTCGAGCCGGAGCTCCGATAACCCGTTAGGTTCTCCGCGACAAGTGTTGTAGACTAGACAGGCAGTATCTATTGTGTTTAATAGTTGCTCAATTTATTAATAGTTGTTTATGGAATAAGCTGGTAAACGAGCTGACCGATTACCTGATGGTTAGTAATCGGGGCCGCCCATGGACACCCGAAACACCAGGGGTGTTACAAGTGCGTTACCGGCCTATTGGGGATTAGAGACTTGAGGTTTATTGAGGATTCGGGGATAGGAAAAGGAGAAGGAGGAGAATCCGGTAACCTTACTCACAAGATGAAACACAACGCAAGTCATATAGTTTCACGTCGGTTTTCTGTGAGGTTGTTTTACTTTTTAATATTGTTGAAAGGTCAATGTAGAATCGAATTAAAGTCAATAATGAAAAGGTCAATAAAACAATATAAATAGGTAACATCTCGTATATTAATCCACAGTAATATTGGTATCGCTCACACGTAAACATACAACTCGCCTAACGAATATAATGTTAAAACATCGAATACACAATCGAATAAAGTTGAGGAACGTTGAGATCTTTATTTATTCATCGACTATTTAGATACCCGTTTATGCTAATTGTAGGTTGGTAGACAAGTCATTATTAGAATAGTTTAATATTTTTGTTGTTCATGCTCCAACTACGTTATTTTAGTTACTGTTATACAAACAAGTTATTCACTTATTCGTCCACTTGAAATCACTAGGAGTTTGTACATTTGCCTTAGATAGATTCTTTGATTTATATTTTGATTTTTATAGTCTAGGTTAAGTTCAAAGATACAGTTTACTTATAAAAAACAGGCACTGTCGACCTTCGATATTTAAGGTCAATTCAAACTACGAAGGTATATAGTAATAGCTTAACATCATATTGACTTACATTTTTGATAGTTTTATATTGCTTAGATTCATAATTTCTTTTAGTTATTTAATAACGAAACCTGCTTTTTTAAATAAGGCATTACATTTTTTTGGATTTGTACAAAATTAGAGCTATTGTACAGTTCGTGGTTTAAACGTTGGGGTTAATCGTGACAATATATTTTTGTGTAGAAGTTTGAAACTTGAAATTTATAAAATGGAAAGCTTGTAAAATATATTAAATGTTTCAAAGGTTCAAAAGGTTAGAAGGAAGTAACAGAAGGTAAATAAAAGGAAAGTTAAGTGTCCAGTAAAGGTAACAATAATTGTAAAGTGATGAAGGGACACAGGAAGTTACATTAAGATTCAAAATGTTAGGACTTCTAGCTTATCTACTTATGGAAAAGGGACAATGTTATTTTATAGGCATTAGGCATAATTATACTTAGATTACTCTTAGAGTTGAGTAAGGATAAAGTAACTAGGATAAGAACTACATGACGTATCAGTTATAAGCGTTTTAAAATTGGAGATACTAGAAAAGACCCAGAGCGTGCTTATACATGAACATTTATATATTCTGTGCAGTTCACGCCCGATAGTCTAATAGATCTAATTTATACCTTAACTTATTTTTTTTTAAAGTTCCTCTTTACAACATTAATTTTGGTTATTTGACATAATTTATTACGTAATATTAGGTACAATTAAGTTCTGACAGTCTTTTCAATAAATAAATTCACTTTTAAAAAACATTCACTGAAGTGCGCACAGTTACAATATTAAAAACAGCTCGTTATTAAGCTATTTATACAAAATAACGATAAAATAACCAAGTTATTTAAACGTTATAACGTTTTATAATTTTTACACACATTTACTTATGCTAACAATTATGACTTCTACAGTAGGACGCGTTTAGTAACAATATACAGATAAAAAACGGTATTTATATACTGTGTTACGGTATTTTATCAGTTATTAAACGCTAACGTTGACTCTAACTAAACGCATGCGACGGTTGACTGGAACTGCGGGTTTTGCCGTCGCATTGCTCGCCGTCACCTGAAAAACAATAAAAGTCTCATTAAATTTTTATCAGCGAGGAAGTTACTTTAATAGTAAAATACAATATCTTGATTTAAAATTGAGTTAAAGTGACATCTCAACGACACTTTAAGTAACTAACGTATGTTATTCTTAGTTTCATACAGACTACATAGGTGGCGCTGTTTTAAATTATTTAACAGTATGTTGAGAATGCAAAGTATAATAAAATTATTCAGCGTTAAAAAGTTAATCAAAGTACTTGTTTTCAATAAGACATAAATCTTTATTTGTATCATAAATTTAACGACTTTTTATTTCAACGTTCTTGATGGAATTGATATCAAATATAAAAACTTCTTTCAAAGACTTCTTTTTAAAAAATATTCTAATTCACCTGTCTGCAGCACTCGTGCTGGTCGTGGTGGAGGTGTGGTTGTTCGCGTCATGTTCTTCCAATGAGTGGGAGTGAGTTGGCCTATTATTCTGCTTTCTAGAACCTTCGCCGTCCGACTCTCTTCTAGGGCCACCGCCGCCGCAGAAGCACTTGCATATTATGCGTTTGAATGCGAATCTGTGGAAAATGGAAGAAATGCAATTAAAATCGGTTTGATGCATATTACAGACAAATAAACGTTTTACTTGGTTATTTTTGGAATGTAGAAAATAAAGCTTGGAATTCAATTTAAATTTGGTGATCCTAAATAAATAAAAAAAAATCGAAAAAAGTAGTGTCTATTTGTAAATTGTTGTCTTATTAATCTCATTTTATCTCATCATAAAATCTCAATTTAGAAATCACCAAATCGCAAATTAGTTATTGATAATTAAAAGAGAAGTCGCGGCAGGCCCAAGAGGCAAAAAGCTTTACATAAAGAGAAAGTGGAAGGAGGGTAGGGAGGCCTTTGCCTTGCAGTGGGACGATCATGGCTGAAAATAAATAAAAAGAGAAGTGGATTGGAAATCGTAAAGGCATTGGATAAAAACGAAAAAAACTAATGTATAGTTTTCGAATTCAAATGTCAACGACAATACCTAGATACTGACTAACCAGTTCAACGTCAAATATTGCTTGACAAACTATACGCTATATTCTCTTTCAACAGCAAAATTATATGGAGTTTCTTGCTCGTTTTTCTCCATTCGAATCTACATTTTGGAATGAGCACCTAGCTTAACCTAGCTTCACTGACAGACTATTATTTATTTAGTATTTGTTGACGTTTCAAAAGCACCAAATTATGGTTTAATTGAAATAAATGCTTTGACTTTGACATAGCATTGACTTAGATTAAAAAAACTTCAACCAAAACACATTCTCACCTAAAGTCCTTAGAGAACAGCGCATAAATCAAGGGGTTGATGGCAGAATTGCAGTACCCCAGCCAAAACAGCACGGAGAAGACGATGGGGCTGACACAGTCCCCACAGAACGCCCTCACGACGTAGACGCTGAAGAAGGGAAGCCAGCAGAACACGAAGCCTCCGACTATGATGCCGAGGGTCTTGGCTGCCTTGGTTTCCATACGGAAGCGTTTTACCTGGAAATATTAATAAGGTTTGGTGAAGTTGATGATAATGATAATTTATCATTAGAGATCAAGAAGCCACAAGTGACTGTCGAGGAAGAAATTTTAGAACAGGTGAAATAATTTATGCGTACATATGTCTATTTTGAATGCCTCGTTGGCCGAGTGGTCGCAAGTGCGACTGCCGGGCAAGGGGACTCGGGTTCGATTCCCAGGTCGGGCAAAGTATTACTGGGTTTTTAAAAATATCAGTAGTAGCACGTTGTCTGGACGTGTGCCCGGTATATGGCAATAGGCTCACCCCCTATTACATGGGACTCATAACATAAATAGTGAAAAAGTGGGTGTTACATTTTATAGTGGCATTAAGTCCCGTAATGTGCGCCTCTGCCTACCATAATATGAAGTTACTTACGCATTGCCGTGTGAACATCACTCACGGTGGCAGTGGACTTTTAACCTTTGACTGTATGTACATACATGGAATCACCATTAATTTTCTTCACCAAAAAATCACTGGTCACTAATACTAACCTGAGCTTTAATATTCCTCTTTCCCATCCTCCTAGTAGTCCTAGGCTTATCATCATATTCATCATACAGGGGTCCTGGAGCCAAATGGTGTGAAGGTCGAACCCTTAGTCTACTTTCTGTCAGTTCCCTTCCATCTCGTTCATAATGGACTGCGTATAAAGATGGACTGGGAGATCTACTTGAAGACATGGAGTTCTCGTGAGCTGGACATATTTGTTCTGATGAGGGATAGGATACGGAGATTTTCACCTTCTCATGAGCTCGTCGGGCGCTTGAGTGTCTGTAGGAACAAGAAGTAATAAGAAATAGGCTTTTTGACAATGCGAAAAATAAAACGTCAATTGCTATACAGTTTAAATGAAGAGTTAAAAAATGATTATTTATAAATATAAGTTGAATATAATGATAAATTTATTTAAAAATCCGCAAATATAAATTGCCTTTTTTAAACGTTTGTTACGTGACACAAAAGGCTCCTGATTGGTCGAGTTTATCATGACGCCACCTGCTTGTAAATACAAAACAAATAGGTACATATGCCAGCGGTCACAGATAAGAAAACAGGCATCAGGCAAGTGACGTCACCGACCATATTGCAGCGCCATATTGTCAAAGTAGCATTTTGGCACACTATTTAAATATTGAATTTTTGATTCGATATTTTTCAGCTAATATATACCAGAATTAAAAAAAAACAACTTTTACTGGATTCCTTAGACTCTACTACATAATATAAAATGGATTTTAAAAACCTGTCAAATAGCCTATTGAAGGAAATTACATTATTATCTTTTAGCAGCTCCTTGTATTTTTATTAACATCTTACGTAACATGTTTAACATGTTTTGGCAAATAAATCTTTATCTTATCTTTATCTTAGGTCTTTATTTAATTTGGTATCTAATTAACGAAATACCAACAACTTAGCTTTTACGATTGACTGGACACTGAAAAGAATTTGTACTGGCCAGGCCTTTCAAATACTTTATCCTTATTACGATGTTAAAAATAAATGAAATTTTCGTAGCCAACTACCGAACCTGAGCGAAAAAAAACAAAGTTTAAAAGTAATCTTTGTTTAAAATAGACCTACTATCTAATACTATTTAGGTTTATATTTTTTTTAAACTTCGTTTTTCATCTACATATTATTGTATTTTCATTCATCTACATGAACATCAGCCTAAAGAATGCAGCTTGAACAAATTTATTTCACAAAAGACTCATTAAAAGAGAATTTGATCATCACCATTAATTCTTTTCACTGTATGAAAAAAAATAAGTCTCTTCACTCACATGACACTAAATTTTATCATAAGGCCTTCTTAGTCAATATTAGAAGATGTTCATCATCAACAGCCTATAAATGCCCACTGCTGAGCAAAGCCTCTTCTCAGACGGAGAAAGTTTGAGCATTAATCACCACTCTTGCTCAATGCGGATTAGTGATTCCAAACTTATAATTAGAAATTATTAGTCCAGGTTTCCTCACGATGTTTTCCTTCATCGTTTGTCAGTGGTGTCTAAATAATCTTAGAAAGTACATATAACTCGGAAAAAGTGACATTGGTACTTGCCGTTGGTAGGTTTCGAACCTGAACGCTCATGCATTAGAAGCGGGCGTCTTAAGCCACCGGCCCACCACAGAGATAATACCAAAGTTTATTCAAAAACCTACCTTCTTAACCGTTCCGGAGAAGCACTAAGCGAGGTGCTGGTAGAATGATTGGAAGCATTCGACAACGGAGACCCGTGAGGTCGATTGGATCCTCTGCCTCGATGTATCCGAAGCGTCAGTCGGTTGTCATCGAACCGACTGCCCATGCCTTTGCCTGCAAATTGAGAGCAGGCTGATAATACAAATTACATTGTTCTTTAACACCAACATTTTGGGCTTAGGAAATAATTTAGAATGACTGTCCATCGATAGGTCTAATTTTGATATTGGGACTATTGTGTTACAGTTTTTGTGGAAGAATGAAACAATTTGTTACGTTTGCTTCCCAGTGCAATTTAAAGGTCTCTGCACACAGTGGGCGCGGCGCCGCGGGGCGGGACGGCGATGCGACACTGAGCAATTGTAATGTACTAGATATTACGGACGACGCCACACAGCCGTCCCGCTCGACGCGACGTAACCGACTGCTCTGTGTGCAGAGACCTTTACTATGCAAAGATACTAAGATCTCCTATAAAAAAAAAATACTGTTGCAACTTTGCACATCTTTCTTTGTTCAAGCTTCAGGAAAGAACAGTCTATATAGTAAAAAATACCTACAGAACAATTGTTGTCAATTGAAGGATTACATTCAGTTCATTTTCTGAATCAGACAATCCTCACCTTTTGTAGTTCTAAAACCCTGATTAATAGCTTTGGTAGTTCTAACAGCGGCTTTGTATATCCTCCAATAGAAGAACAGCATCACGAACATGGGGATGTAGAAGGAACCGAGAGCTGAGTAGACGACGTAGCCAGCATCGTTGGTCAGCTCACAGGTCCATTCACAAGGGGGGTTGGGCACCCAACCGTCTTTTATGTCTGCTTCTTCAGGCTGTGAAAGAAAGAAGAATTAATGTAATAATACGTTTTTTATTAAAAGAGATGCACATTCAAAATTTTATGTGATTTAACTCGCGAGTTCGTCCGCGTATAATATGATTCCTGTTTTATTCCATAGGAGCATTTAATCGGGATAAAAAGATATAAAGATATCCCATCACTTAAGTCAGCTCATACTCTGCCTGTACACCAAATTTCATTAAAATCCGTTTAGTTGTTTCAGCGTGTTTGACAAACATCCAATCATCGAAACAAAGACACTTTCATATTTTTAAAATTAGTGTGATGATGAGCGGTTACCATCAGGTAATCTGATGATGATGACATCATCCGTCTGCTCTTTTACTTATCCTATAAAAATTCGCACTTTTCACCAGCTTTGATAAGTTTGTAGTACTAATAAGGGCGATCTTTAACTGATACGATACATATGGAGAGACGAATTCGTAAATTAAAAGTAAATAAAATTGTAGGCCCTATCGGTTGTAATAGACTCTATGAGATAATCAAATACGAAACTTCATAGTAAGAGTCGCAGAGGTTAGAAGAATGACGATTTCAAATTAACAGTTATGAAGATTACGTATTCAAGATTAACTGCTAACAAATTAATCTCTAACAGGATATCGATATCCGAGACAGTAGTATTAGGAGATACCTATATTAAAATATACCTATTTATAGATTTCGATCATAGCTAGACAATCTTCAGGGAATTAATCGACTACCTACGCAAAGTGTACAGATTCATTCAAGTGGATTTTCTATCTGATTTGTTTCACACTGAATTGATGTCCATAAGAGAGGCAGTGGTCATCGAATAGAAATAAATCGCTATCACATTGAAATAACGGTTTTAATAGTTATTGATGAACGGTCCAAAATTTTAAGTGTGGGAGAGCATCGCTTCGGCACTAATGGGTCGGCTCGACCGTAGTGATACCACGGCTTCACAGAAAACCGACGAGGAACAACGCTTGCGTTGTATTTCGTCGTGTGATTGAGGTTACCGGAAGCCCAACTATTCCCCCTCCCCAGTCTCCCCAATCCCCGAATCCTCCACAACTCTCAAATTCCCAATTCCCAAAAAGGCCAGTAACGCACTTGTAACGCCTTGGTGTTTCAGGTGTCCATGGGCGGCACCGATTGCTTAACATCAAGTGATCCGTCTGCTCGTTTACCGGCTGGCATAAGCTGGCATTGAACTGCCTCATTGGCCGCAAGTGCGACTGCGGGGCAAGGGGTCTCGGGTTCGATTCTCGGGTAGGGCAAACTATTATAGGGTTTTTAAAAATTCTCAGTAGTAACACGGAGTCTGGAATTGAGCCCGATATACGGCAATAGGGTCACCCTCTAATACATGGGACTCATAACATATATAGTGAAAAGTGGGTGTTACATTGTGTAGTGGCATAATGTACACCTCTGCCCCTTCGGGGGTAAAAGGCGTGATGTTATGCATATATCATATAGACAACATACAATATCGTACATAATTAACTACTAATTTGAGTCCGGTCGGAAACGGTCCGCATATGATGGATTCTTGTACAAAGGCGTAACCGGATGGCTATCAAGCAAGACACAAGCGTCATATCTCGGAATCCACTCATCAGACAAGCAGAAAATTATACCTTTTGTGCCCGCTTTTAAGAGCGTGGGAGACTTACTTAAATTTTTTTGTAACGGTCTTTCCAATGCCACATTTTGTCAAGTTAAATTATGACTTTTGATCTTGATTTAACATTTACCTCTAGTGATTTTAGAGTTCTATCAATAGCAGTCAGCTATGATGGTTTTTGTTTTGTGACGAAAAAGATCATTCTGTTGATTCATAATCAGCGGAATACGTCCACTACTCAGCATAGGCCTTCTATTGGAATTAAGATTTGCCCTATTTTTGGTAGGTGAATTTGGAATCTGACCGATTTTCGTTGACACGCCGAAATTTTAATAAATACCTTTTTTTGAGGGGGTCAAAATCACCCAATGACTTCTCCCGCCCGAGTGAGGCGAGAAGGAGTGTCAGACTCTTACTGACTAAAAACTACCACGTTCCTACTCCTGCACTTCGAGCCGGAGCCCTGGTAACCCGTTAAGACTTCCGTGGCTCATCGTATTTTAATAAACACCTGGGTTTGGTTTCGTACCATTAGAAACCTTTAGCACTTGTGGAACAAGTCAGATTAGTTCAATTTAATCAATCACACCAATCTCAACAACATTTTTTTAGTAAAGTATTCGTACATGTACATGTAATGACAATACATGGAATCCTATAAGTTTTTCAGAATACGTTAAGTAAAAACATGACAGAACAGATAAACCACACTGCTTACTTGCTCAGTGTATCTATATAGGTATTAACAAACAAAATGATAATGTCGCTCAACAGTCTATTATTTGTTGGATATTATCTTTCGTTAATTCTCATCGTCTGTTAAATTGGCCTTCATAAAATACTATATCTAACTCTACATAGGACGGTTTACATCCACCCACGTTTTCATCAGAACACAAGCGTGACGTAATTAATTTTTAGGCTTTAACTTTCATGTATGTCTTTGTAATCATAAGATTCGCGAATTGCTTACTTACGATAATTAACAAACGAATTTACCAAAGAAAATTCATAATTAATTATACACGCAAACTTCAGTGGGTCTTATGAGAATGTAAAGTAATGCAAATAGCTACCAAACCTGCCTACATTTTATTGAATAAGCAAGCATACATTTCATACCGGTCCGTAAGAGATTATAATGCAAAGAGGTTTCAACGTTACTTTGTATTTACATACTGAATTTTTGAAAGAGGATGAGATAATGATTTAAGATAAAACAACGCGTTTATTCTTTGATGTACCAAGCTGTGTATGTACTTCCCATGGTATGTATACCTACTGTCTATATACAGTTTTGTTCGATTAAAAATATTGGGGTAGGTACCATGATTTTGAATCCTCGATCAAGAATTCTCGTTCAAGAATTGATATGTAATTAAAAATTATGACTATGAGCGTAATAAAAGAAATATCGTAACATATCAATACGTTGCTTTTGAATGGGGATGATGACAGGGTATGAAAATTAATCATATAATTAGTCCGTAAGGTAGGTAATGAAAAAATATTAGACACATATTTTTTATATTTCGATGTATAATAAAATTATACTTAGATAAAACGAATCAAAGTTTAAGAGTGGGGGCTAAAACGTCATTTCTACTTATAAAATGAACATAGAAGTGACGTCACGCGACGTTTCAAATCAATATATCGTCGAAAGTATTTGTTTCTGTAAGAAAATAAAAAATTAGTGTCTAATGTTTTTAAATTATCTACCAGACGGACACTAAAATAAAAAATATTAATCTACCCTATTAAAAATTATGTATATGAGCGTAATAAAAAATAAAAGCCTCTTAGGTAATTCTCAAAGAAGATCAATGAAAAATTTAATGTAACAGAAGCATTTCGTCAGTTATGATATCAAATAATCCCATGGAATAAAATCAAGAACGATTTTATACTACCCAAAATTACTACAATGGAAAATCATGCAACAGGTATATAACAATAGACTCCAAATTACCTTTTTGTCCTTCCAACCGACCAGCGGCGGGAAACAGATGACAAAAGACAGCACCCAGAGACCAGCTATAAGAGCCTTAGCCCTTTTTCTACTCATGATGCTAGGGTAACTGACGGGTCTTGTGACGGCTACGTAGCGGTCCAGGGAGATGGCACAGAGGTTCAGGATGGATGCCGTGCACATCCAGACGTCTACTGCCAGCCATACTGAACACCACACGTCGCCGAAGATCCATACCTGGAAAAGGAGAAAAGGTGGGTGGTGAGAATGGTGAAAGAGTGATTGTTACCCCTGTAGTATATTAGTGACGGTATGTCAATATTCCGTGATAATTTATGTAAAGGTGTTTGAATAAAAGTCAGTGTTTAACCAACTTGCGTGCGTTTCATTACACGGTGTCAGAAGTGGGATCTTTTTAACATTAATTACGGGTTAAAAAGATATTTTAGTAACAATAAACTATTATTCTAAGTGTCGTTGTGTACAAGAATAATAAATATGGAGCACGCACGTCCTCCAGTGGAATTATCGCTCGACGGTGGTCCGGCCGCGCGGTCCGACGCGTGGCATAAATGGCGGAAACAGTTCGAGGTTTTCCTTAAAGCATCTGGAGTGAGCAAAGAGCCTAAGGAAGTTCAGGCTAGTTTGTTGGTTAACCTCATCGGATCAGCTGGTTATGAGGCTTTTACAACTTTTACGTTTGAAGGAGGTGAAAGTGAAGACGACATTCATTGCGTATTAAGCAAGTTGGTTAAACACTGACTTTTATTCAAACACCCTCACATACAATTATCACGGAATATTGACATACCGTCACTAATATACTACAACCCCCTAATCTCCAAATTCTAATTTTGGACTCATTTACTGTTGCAAGGGACTATGGGCGGCCTTACCCCATTAGCAAGCCTTTTATAAAATTGTCTACGTGATACAAAAAGCTATGTTTGATATTTTTACATAACATAACATAACATCACGCCTTTTACCCCCGAAGGGGTAGGCAGAGGTGCACATTATGCCACTGTACAATGTAACACCCACTTTTCACTATTTATGTTACGAGTCCCATGTAATAGGGGGTGAGCCTATTGCCATATACCTGGTGCAATTTCAGACTCCATGCTACTACTGAGATTTTTTTTAAAAACCCATTAATACTTTGCCCGACCCGGGAATCGAACCTGAGACCCCTGGCAGTCGCACTTGCGACCACTCGGCCAACCAGGCAGTCAGTTTGATATTTTTCTTCTTTCAAATATTTCGATATAGAACTGCCATAATAATAAAATATAACGAAAAGAAAAGTTCAAGATGCTGAAAGTAAAGTCTGTTCAATCAAAATATAAAAAAAATACCATAGTAAGGTCCTGTTCAAAATAATAGATGGATTCACTATTCATTTTCTATGCCATAATCACTTTATTTACCTAGTAGTTTTGTCATATTAAGTAAATATATGTAATTGTTTTACGATTAAAAAAACCGACTTCAATTCCCCTCTTCGTTGTAGTTAGTTAATTAATATACTAAAACCTTCCCCTAAGTGTAATGTAACTAACAAACACTTTTCTGAAAATCACACGGAAATTGGTTTAGGCAATCGCGAGATAATCACGCACAAACATACATACATATAGGTCAAACTGAGAACCTCCTTTTTCGAAGTCGGTTAATATTTTTTACATGAAACACACCATCCTCAAAACCTAGTACCTCACACCAGAAGATATTGCTTCGACTTATGTAAATAAAAAAAGTATTCAAACTTTTCCTTCTCGTGATATTGGCAAAGAAAGTTGCCTCACCTCGTAATAACATGAGCGGGCTCCACTTGAGGCATAAACCTTAAGCAAAGTTTCAAATAGACGCGAAGCATAGTTAGTATAACAGGTATAAGTAACAGGTATTGCATGGATAACAGGTAGCTGTTGTTCTCGCAGTGAATCATAGTCACAGGTAAAACCGCAGCTAGTTATCAGTCGAATTTAAAAACCCCCTGTTAGTGCAAAAATCTTAAATGACCTTGATTTTTGACCAAAATTTCTAAAGTTCTAATGTCAAAATTAGTAAAGATTTGAATTAAGATAGATTATTATTATATTAAGAATGTATCATTATTAGTCTGTTATCGCTATCGGAATCAATAGGTGTACGAAAGAGTTATCTGTTCTCAATACCTGTTACTAGGTAATAGGATCGACGTCGACGCTCAACACGGCCTTGTTGTTACTGAATAACAGGTATTAAGAACAGTGATTTTAACGGACCAATAACAGGAATAACAGTTATAGTCAACCTGTTACAACCCAAGTTTAGTTTCAAAATTGCAATATGAATGGTGACAGACTTCCTCAATGTATTATCTTAAGTGCCTCATTCCCTTCATCTGGCCATTCTGAGCCTTATTGCCTTTATGGGATACGAAACTGCTTTGTTATTCGTTTATGATGATTATGTTGCTTTTTTGCTGCTAATGACGTCATTTCTGTTTGTTTATAAACGGAACGGGACGTGGGATTGTTAAAATTGGTTTAAGTGTTTTTTGAGAAAATTGTAGAATAATATGAATTGGGATGTCTAATGTTTCATTGTCAGCATCATCATCAACAGCTTACGAATGCCCACTGTTGACCAAAGCCTCTTCTCACACGGATAGGGTTTGAGCAATAATCATCATACTTGCTCAATGCGGGTTGGCGATTACATATTTATAATTAGAAATTATTAGCCCAGGTTTCCTCACGATGTTTTCCTTCACCGTTTATCAGTGGTGTCTAGATAATCTTAGAAAGTACATATTACAACTCAGAAAAAGTCACATTGGTGCTTGCCGTTGGTAGGTTTCGAACCCGCACCCTCATGCATGAGAAGGGGGCGTTTCAAACCTCCGGGCCACCACGACATTCATCTAAAGTTTATGGTCTCGATGAGAGTACAATATTACTGTAGTATGCCTCTGTAATATTATGCGGTGAGTCTATCTATATATGCTATATACGATAAAATTCTATGCAGTTACTAAGCACCTACATAATTATTCAGAAACTAGCTTCTGCCCGCGACTTCGTACGCGCAAACCCGTTTTCTCCCGTTCCCGTAGGATTTTTAGGATTTTATGCCTTAAGAACCTTCTCCTGACAATAACAAACACAACAAAAAAAAGATCAGCCAAATCGATCTAGCCGTTCTCAAGTTAAGGCGTGACAACGGGAAACGGGATTCATTTTTATATATATAGATAGAAGAAGAAACCTCCAATTTTTTTTAACCTAGATTTATCCCTTGCTTGGGATTTCCACTAGTGACCATGCTCACATGGACTAAAGATCTAATCCATGAAAAATTATTTTCTTAATCATTCTCTGCAAATGCAACTATTTTCTTTAACGTCGACTTACAAGAAAAAACTGTACCTTACTTTAAAATTAAGCGCTTCCATCGCTTCATAGCTTGAGGCCGCTAGATCCAGCGCACCGCGTAGGTATACTGAATGACCTACTTTCATTCAATTCAATGAGAGGCGTATCAAAGGCGAGCTTGCACCTGATTCGTTGGGGCTGACCGAGCAAACAGCTAGTACACACAGGTACAAATCAAGCTAAGCAAACCAGTATAAACTGACCTTTGACTGTGCAGAAAGATCATATAATGCTAGACCATGATGAACTGGTTTTGATAGCTTGTTGTGTTGTCGCTGTACAAAGAACTGGTGTGTACTGAGATAGTAATAGTGCTCTCGCCTGCTCAGTAGATGAGATGAATTGAACTTCATTCATGGAATTGCGATGTGGAGAGGAGGAGGGAGGGGTAATATTATGTAATAGTAGTTTTTGTTGAATATTTTTTTTAAACTGACTTCCTCGTTTGCCGAGGCCGATTCGCGACTCGGGTAAAGTAGTACTGGTTTTTTTTTTACTAGCCCGCCACAACCTCCCAAAACCGCTGCAACTCCTGTAAGCCAGGATCTACAGTAGATACAACCATGAAAACACCGGAACACTAAAGTGCGCCGCGTCCCAGGGACAGGGACAGTTATTCAATTATTCTTGTATGAGTTACATAAAATCACGCCTTTTATCCCCGAAGGGGTAGGCAGAGGTGCATATTACGGCATTTAATGTAACACCTACTTTGCACTATTTTTGTTATGAGTCCCATTTAATAGGAGTGAGCATATTACCATATACCGGGCACAATTCCAAACTCCGTGCAACTACTAAGATATTAAAAAAAAAATAGGAATCGGGAATCGAACCCGAGACTCTTTACCGCCTAGTCGTACTTGCGACCACTCGGCCAATGAGGCAGTTGTATTCTACTCGAACAGTAATTGTACCACAATCCTATTTACCCACTTGTCTAACACTAGACCTAGTGCTAAAATTAGTCTAGCTCCCACAGATTAGCATAGCTTAGGAGGTACGTCACGTAGGCACTAGACAGGCTGTATGTATGATGTGCTTACCACAAATCTGGTTAATACATCGCCCTGTATGCAGATAGATACATACTGTAGATACGTTGCGCGTTGATCAACAGATGTGGCGCTCTCGTATGTGTGTGTGTGTGTGTGTGTGTGTGTGTGTTGGTATAAATTGTTGTGGGTGATTTGGGAATCTTGATTATAGTTTAGTTCAGTTGTTTGATAAGTCAAATTTGTGAATTTAAAAGAAATGTAACCATAGCAGTAAATAGTTCAATATGGTTCTTCATATTGATTATTTGGCTTACCTATTGAATTTTCAATACTTCAAACTATACTCCGCAAACAACTAATCTGTTTTAAACGAAGTATTGACTTTTTTTTAAGGGGGAAAATCATCGAATGACTGCTCCCGCCTGGGTGAGGCGGGAGGGAGTGTCAGACTCTTACTGACTAAAAACCAACCCGTTCCTTCTCCTGCACGTCGAGCCGGAGCCCCGGTAACCCGTTAGGTTCTCCGCGACTCCGTATCGGCATCAGCTCTATTGGGCCCCATCCGTTTGAAGCAGGTATTAGCCATATATTACTTACTTATTGCCCGCAGACTACAGTAAATGAAAGCACACTGCAATACTAACAGGGCTATGTAAATAAAAACCGACTGTGGCGAGTATTGCGGTGATTAGGGTTGACAGAAATGAGTTAGAATTTGTATGCATGGTAACTGGGTATTTTCTCGGAGCTGCGGACTGGAAAGAGAGTAAAGAAAAATAATTAATTTGCTATAAGGCATGATGCACAAAATACACAGACATAAAT